CCCACAGACTCASGTTCACATCCCTTACCGTGAGAACAAAAGCTTCACTGGTACTGCCTGTTATGCTAGTATCAACACTCACTTGGGAGTCGAGCAGTCTCGCCGCGATGACATGGAATCGCTAGGCTACKTTATGCTATACTTTCTCCGTGGTAATCTTCCGTGGCAGGGCCTCAAGGCTGTTACCAAAGAGCAGAAATATAACCGTATCATGGAGAAGAARATGGCTACCCCTATCGAGGTCCTTTGCCGTGGGCTTCCCAACGAATTCGCCACYTACTTGAACTATACTCGCTCCCTACGATTTGAAGACAAGCCCGACTACTCTTACCTACGCAGGCTTTTCAGCGACCTGTTCGTGCGTGAATCCTTCCAATCCGACTATGTCTTCGATTGGACCGTCTGTAAATACCAGAAGAATGCGGCTATGATGGATGCAGCAAGTCTCAAGAAAGATAGGGAAACCGAGGAACAGAAATCCCGCGCTTCTCTGAAGCCCGAGAACAAAGATAATCATCCACATAGCGCCCAACCAAGCGGCATCWTCCTGCAGCCAGAGACTCATCCCATCACCGAAGACCAGCTGATCAACGAGGTCCGGGCCATCTATGCCGGTCTAGTGATGGTGGAAAAGAAATGCATCGAGATTGTGAAGCAACAGAACGAGAAACCCGAAGAGCTTACTGATTTGCAGTGGCAGGCAATTATTGCACTGCATAGAACACTGCTTCATGAACACCATGACTTTTTCCTCGCCTCAAACCATCCAGTGGCGAGCGAGACATTAAAAGAATTGGCAAGAACCTATTCTATGCCTGCCCGAATGTGGCGCTATGGCATACATTCGCTCCTGGAGCTGCTACGAAAGAGGCTGCCCTTCTCCCTCGAGCATATGCTTACATTCATCTACATGGCATATGCAATGATCACGCTACTTTTGGAAAGCATCCCAGATTTGGAAGAGACTTGGATCGAGTGCCTTGGTGACCTCTCTCGCTACCGGATGGCCATTGAAGAGGTGGATATGCATGGCCGGGAGATATATACAGGAGTTGCAAGATATTGGTATACCAAAGCGGCGGATCTCAACCCCGATATTGGACGTATTCAACATCATCTTGCTGTACTCGCACGCCCAAATCAACTGCAGCAGCTCTTCTACTATTCAAAAGCCTTAATAAGCGTGCAGTCCTTTGCGAATGCGCGCGACAGCATCTTGCTCCTGTTTAGTCCTCTATTAGACCCCGCGAAAGCTGCAAATAAGTATTCCAAATATTATCCTCGAGTTCTGACCCTCTTTGTCGAGGCGCATGGGGCTCTGTTCACGAGACATGATGTTTCTACTTTTGTGACACCTGCTGAGCAGTTCTTGGATCAGCTTGATAAACATGCTGGGAACATTGGTCCTCTGTTCCGGGAACAGGGCGTCTATATCGTGGCTGCTAATTATGCTGCTATCTTTGACTTTGGCCATGACGATGCAATCATCCCTTCCACGTTCAATGGACTAAGCCAACGATCAGAGATGCTGGATAAGGCATATAAATATTGGCAGGAGAATCCCGCCTGTATTCAGACTGATATTGCATGCCGAACTACTCATGATCAAAGGATTAGCAATAGCAGGAAAGCGGCATCCTTTGCATCCCATCTTGCATTTACTACTCTCGACATCATCATGGAACGATTGGGTGACAATAATACACTACCATGCGTACATGTCTCCTTAGCGTTTCTGTGGTGCGCAGCCATGGTTCCAGGGAGCATGTCCTACATCCAAGCAGACGTGCCCTGGGCACGACTGGCCACCTTTCTGAACGCACTCATCAGACCAGAAACCGACATGTCTGAAATCGTCGAGAACGAAAAATTCCCCACGCGCGAAGCAGATGTCTCACAGCAATTACCAGAGGATTTCTTGATCTATGGCCTCTGTTGGAGTCAGCTCTACTATCCAACGGGCTTCTTCAGCGAGAGTGCTGAGGGCGATGAGCGGCATATAGAGCTTCCGTCTGTGGCTGTTCCGCGGACAAGGTGCTGTCTCTGGCTAGGGATTCGTATTGCCAAGGTCAGTGAGCTGCTTTGTAAAAAGAAACCATACTGATGAAAATTCCTTCTAACCCCCTCTTGGAAACAGTTCAACCATTGGCTTRACTACAACGCTGAGAGCYGTACGTTTTCCGCAACCGYGTTTGCAAAGAACCTTGGTAAGCTGTCAAGGCAGCACCAAGTACTGCGCAGATAGCACAATGTGCCCGGATCTGCGGCTAGCTCTCATTCAAGCCGCTAACGTGTATTATGTTTACTGTCATGGATTTCTCTCCATTGTCTATGTCCTAGAAAATGTATTCTCCTGCTCGGGCTTGTGCCTCTACTTGCCGCCTGTAAGGCCTGAAATATGCTATGT